ATGTCCTGCTGCTCTCACACACACATGAATAACTAAATGCAATATTTTGTAAGTATAGAAAAGGTTTTGTTTTAATAGAATTGGGCTTTGTGTTGAAGGCATTGTAATCCCACTTACATGGAGGCAAGAGGACCATGAGTTCAAAGCCTGCCTGGGCTGAAGAATACATTAAGAACAACCTGGGAAACTTGGTGAGACTCTTTATTAAAATAAAAAAATAAAACAGACAGTGAAAGCTCAAATATCCTTTTTAAGGCTTTATTCTTATTATTTCAATTATGTTTATGTGTGTGTGAGTAGGTGCATGGGAGGAGTATGGGTTCTCATGGAGGCTGGACAGTTATGGTCTGCCCAGTGTGGATGCTGGGAAGACTAGGAAGAGCTTTTAACCAGCAGTCATCTCTCTAGCCCTTCGTTTGTTTTAAAATGAATATTCCTCAGCAAAATGTCAAGCCGAAATAATGAGATGAAATAGACAAGTAGTATATCAATTGTTAAGCCAGTGTGATGAATGTTTGAGTGTTAGTTTTTGCTTTGTGCTTCAAGTATTTTGCGATAGAAAGAAGAACACTCTGCGAGGAACTGTCTCAGGAAGTCCTAGTCAAGCCTCTGTGTTCCCCGTGATTCTTATGAATTGCATACTCTTTTGGCCAGGTGTGGAATGTGTAACTCTCAAAGGGCAACTGATGATAGTGATGTTTCCTCTAATGCCTTTTTAAGCAGTAGGTAGTGGCCTGGTGCTTCCCAGATATAACAAACATCAGTTACAGTTTCCTATTCTATGTTGAAAATCGACCTTCTGGGGAATGAGCTAAACCAGCTCAGCTTTCATATCCCTAACTGGCATCTGTATTTGAGACTCAACTGTGAACAGCTCACAGCTACTAGGAATCTCCCTCTTACTCATTGCTGTACCGTAAGATTTAAAGTGATGGGTCCCCCCCCCATAGTTTTATGACTATGTGGGAACCCCAACCTTTTGTGAGAATGTTGTAATTATGAACTTCTAAATCATCACCCTCCAGCTAATGCCATGAGGCAGAAAGCCTTTAGGGATAGCTTTCCTTCTGGAGTACCTCCACTGAGAACCTCACGGTGTGACTGGGCATGTTTTGGAGTCAGTCTGGCCTGGAACTCACGTCAACTCTCCTTTCTTAGCTGCCTATGTGTGTGTTACAGGTCTATGTTACAAGGTCCTATGAGATTTGTTTTTTCTTTCCTTTTTCATTTTGGTTTGTGAGATAGGTGCTCATAATGTAGTCCTCACCAGCCTAGAGCTCATGATGTAGCCCAGGCTGGCTCCAATCCCTAGGTAGTCCTCTTGTTCAGTCTCAGTAGTGCTGGAATGTGGCTTGATTTGTTCATTGCTAAAGTATTAACCTTGAACTAGGTAACCTCTAAACAAATCTACTGTAACTTTGAACTTTGTTGTATCACATACAGACTACATGTTCCAGGTCAGATGTATCTTGGTATAAGGGAATAGCAGACACTGTACAGTAGAGAGCAGTGTTTCTCAACCTGTGGGTCACAACCCCTTGGAGGTTGAATGACACCTCCCCCTCCCCCTCCCCCCAAGACAGAATTTCTCTGTGTAGTTTTGGTACCTGTCCTAGATCTCGCTCTGTAGACCAGGCTGGCTAGAACTTACAGAGATCCACCTGGCTCTGCCTCCCGAGTGCTGGGATTAAAGGTGTGCGCCACCATTGCCCTCGAATGACCCTTTCAAAGGGATTGCCTAAGACCATCCAAAATAACTCTAGCAAATTTTGTTTGAGACAGGATTTCTCTGTGTATCCCTGGCTGTCCTGGAACTCACTCTGTAAACCAGGCTAGCCTTGAACTCAGTAATCCACCTGCCTCTACCCTCCATTGTGGATCAAAAACATGGGCCACCACCATCCGGTAGCAGTAGAAAAATTACAGTTATGAAGTAGCAACGAAAGTATTTCATGGTTGGGGGTCACCACAACACAAGGAACTGTTAAAGGGTCGCAGCACTAAGAAGGTTAAGAACCACTGGTCTAGAGGAAGCTGCCAGAGTCTTTCCTCAGAGAGAATCACATCTAGGAGAAAGGACACATTGGGGACTTCTGTTTGCTGTGTGCTTAGTAGATGTCAAGGGCCTCCAGCTAATCAGTTTGAGTCATTCACTTTCTGCTTGTTCTACTGCCATGGACTGTACTATATGCCCCAGCCAGCTGGCTGCAAATCTAGCCACTGGGCAGGGGGGAAAAAAAGCGACTGAACTATTGGTTCAAATTTGTCTGGGCGTCTAGGAAAACAATTCAACTGCGCATGTGCATCTCTTGGTCGCGCTGGAAAAATACCAAAAAGGACATTCTTGCCGGAGCAATGATCCGAAACTCGTACACAGGGCTGGGGGGTGTGACCCAGTGGTAGAGTGGAAGTGAGGACTTACGTTCCACCCCTCGCACCGCAAACTAAACAAAACCCTGCGACATGCATTCTTAGCAGTTGCCCCACCGGCCCTCACCCCGCAGGCGGTAGCCCTCTGCTTCCAGCTCCAGGTCGCATCCGATGCCCTCTCGATACAGACGCTCAATGCTGTGCAGGCTCTCCCTCAGCTCCTCTGCCTGGCTGAGCTTCTCTTCATCTTCCCTGGCTTTGCCAAGCCCTTCTGGCCTCAGCTGGGCCGCGTTCTTCACCCTGGGCGCCCCCAGCGCCTCGGCAGCAGCCAGCACTTCGTCCTGCGTGGCGGGGCCCAGCACCCCCTCATACGCAAAGGTCAGCGCAGCCTCCCAGCCCCTCCGGGTCACGTCGAGGCTGAAGCCAGGCTGCTGACCTCCACCGCCCAGCAGCCTGCCTTGGAAGAGGCTGCTAATTGCAGCCAAGATCACCCGATGCACCCCGTATACCTGTCCCCCTACTGACACCTCTTCATCCAGCAGCAGCTTCTGCTCCCGCAGCCTCTGCGCTTCGGCGAAGAACTGGCTGGGGTGCTCCACGCTGCACAGCATCTCGGGTTCTGCCGAGTCGTCGCTGCCATCCTGTTCCTTCCCGGTCTCCAGGGATGAAGCTGGAAAGGGAAGGTTTCCTGAAACCAAGGGGCTGGGGTCAGGCTCTGCCAGAGAAAAGGAAAGTAAGCCGGGATCCTCACAGGGAGAGGGAGACCAGGAGGAGGTTCTTCGGGCAGGTAAACGGAGTTCAGGACCGTCCTTCCGGACAGGAAGGGAGACATGCTCCAAGTCTGAGCCAAGACTTGCCATCTTCAAAAAGCTCACGGCCCAGGCTTGTGAGATGGCTGCAGGTGACCGGGCATGAGAGAAGGATGCCTGAGCTGCGCCCAGAAAAGCAGAACTGTCCTCACTTCACAGAGCTGTCAGCCCCTCACTGCACCCCAAGGGCACACACTAACTTTGGAATAGTGGGCTATGAGGGAGCTAACTCTAGGGTTCTCCAAGTGCAACAAACCGCAAACACCTGCAGCCATCTAGGCCAGGGTCAACCCCTCCTTCCACTTGCTCTCCTTCGGTCCCGGGCAGGAGACACCAGGCTTCTGCGTGCCCTCACTTGAGTTCCCACTCTGCTTAGGACTGCTGTGTACAGATCCCAGCAGCGGCCCCACTTGGCTAATTTTAGCCAGCCCGAGGACTAAACTCTCCTCTCCCAGTGCTGGAAGCTGACACCCAATCCTCTGGGCCAAGTCCTGGGATGACTTCCCCCTCCCCTTTCACCTGTAGGTCATAAGAGGGTGCTGAGTGAAGGAAATTGCAAGGCGGAGAGAATGCAGACATTAGGTGGCGTGAGCCAGGCCAGAAGGACTTCCGTGGCTGGAGGTGACAGGGAGCTAGCAAAGGGGTCTGAAAAGTCTAGACTATACAACACTTGATGTTTGGCTTACCTTCCTCCTTAATACCTGTGGGATTTGGGCGGGGCGGTGGCGGGGGATTCCTTAACCTCTGCCTGACTTTGTCCTG